ACATAGAACAATATCGGACCTCTGAAAAGTACAAGCATGCATATGTACTCAGTACTTGGTTTGGGCCCCTTTTGCAGCACTTACTGCAATTACTTTTGCACGATATTCTAATTATTCGAGTTTCACCTGTATATGCGATTACAAACTATACATAGCAAGAAGATTTTTAAAACATTAATCCAAAGTGATAAGATTACTTACACCAGTGAAATTTTTACATATTTATATATATTAAAAAAAAACTTTGAAATGACTGTACAGTCTCTTCAAATAAACCTTACAGGAAAAAAATTAGATTTTCAACTCAGCTACTTAAGCAGCTACTTCCTATGCAGTGATATCACACTTTTAAATCAAGAGACTTGTACTTTGATATGGGATTCTCTCTCTGCTTTTCTTAGGACTTATGTCATACACAAGGACAAAGCAAGTACAGGTTTTCCTTAGTGTGTAACCAGAGATCTTGAAGAACAGAGCATGGCAGATGTGTTTTTTTTAGACTCTCTTGAGGTTTTCTCTGACTATAATTAGCTCAGTGTGACTTGCAGGACTTTTTCACACTAAAAGCATTAACATTGCATATAATATACTGGAAATTCTTCAAGGTGTTACTGCTTTTAAAACTCTAGGCAGATATAAAACACACAAATTATTGCCGATCAATTCATTTATTTTGCAAATGCAAGCAGAGTAAGTGGCTGAATTTGACATGATATCAGTCTCTTGTCACAATCATATCATTGTGCTGCTTCTCCAACTGTCCAGTCATATACTGGTGCGGGTCCAGGACAGTCGGGGGTTGAATGATGCTGGCCATTAACCTGAGGGCATCCTGTGAAGGAAGTGTGGGCAATCATGGTGGGGCGAACTTTGGATTGAAAGTGAATATAGCAACAAAATTTAGCTATATTTTATTAATATTTAAGGTTTTATATTTTGACATTTGTTATATTTTGACATTTCTCATGAAGGGTAGGAGAGCAAGCCTACTTAACCATGCAGTTTCTACTAAAGCTCTAGTGCTGTTAAGAGTTGATTTCAATTCTGCATGCCCAGTCTAGTTTTCAAACAGCTGATTTTGATAGCTAATAGCAGTTGGGCAATTGGACTTGTATGTGATTTAGATACTTCTTTGGAAGAACAGATGTCCAGCTAAGCTCTTTTCTCCATTCTAGTATTATTAGCGTGGCGTTAGAGATTACTTTTTCTTTGGGACTTTTACTCTTAAGTACTTACTGTACATATCGGAAATGGAAGATTTCCCATAGTTGCTTATTATGAATTGTGCAAAATGATTGCCCATATGTAGGAATGTTAAACAAGATTGAATTTGTTGCTGAGAAAGATTAGCTTTGAAGCCTTCTTAAAAGCCTCATATCTTATAGCTAAACTATAATTGATCTGCTGCTGTATTTGTGCTGGGCTAGATAATCACCACAACTCTGCTTTTGGCCAGAACACAAGATAGCTTCTATGGTGTTTAAGATAGGAGAGGTCAACAGGAGACACGGTTTTTCCCAAACAATTGATGTTAAAAATGTATAAAGGGAAGCAATAACTGTGTTGATGGAGCCAGCTGCCGATTTCTCTATTTCATGTTGTATTTACTTGTCTGGGTTTGTCCTTTTTCTCTTTTCGACAAGGGGTATGCCCTAAGTGGCTCTGTTTTGTACCACTTTATATAAATCCATGAATCTTCTAATAAGGATTTTTTTTAAAGTGTAAAGGGAATTTTTTTTAATATACTAGATAAAATGGGTGGTCCTCCTTTAGAGAATTGTAAGTTGTAGTGGAATTTTGATATTAATTCATACACTGCATGTTGTTGATATTAATTAACAAATATATATTATTATAATCATTAGTTTTATTATTAATATTATGCAAGTTATTTAGTCTTAGACGTTCAGCAGCTTTATACAGACATACAGATGAACTTTAGATAAACCCTAAGAGCATACAAGACACACTTGTCATGTGTGCACGTGTCTAGTCGGTGCTTGGTGCTTATTTTGAGTTTTAAAAAAATTATCGTAGTCTGGAGCGAGTACCTTTTTAGAAATACTTTTTTTTCTTTGGTAACACTTTCTGCATAACCTTGGATGTGGTACCCCTAACCTTGATTTGCCCACTTCTATAAATAAGATTGTTACAGCAAGTGAATAAGCTCAACATATGAGGCTTCATCTACGCTTGTGCTTCACAGTTCACTGGGCAATTGCTGATAGGTAAATAGGCTTATGCCAAAATTGGCTCTAAAGTTTCTGAATATATCAAGGGATGTTAGATTCCAAGTTCTACTGGTGCAGGGAATAATGTGAATGGTAAAGTATGTTCTCTTGGGGATGTACTGGTAATAAAAAAATGTCTAGTAGTCAGACTGAAAATGCCTTTGCTCTTATTGGCAGTGAGGACATGCAAAATGCCATTAATCCATTGCAATATAGATATATATATATCTATCTATCTCTATCTAGATAGATAGATAGATATATATATATATTTTAATTTATCTGGCTAACCTTAGTTGTTATGGCTTGCCACGTTTTTTTACATATTGCCCTTTGCATTGGAGAAATAGCCTGCTTACTTTCAGATATTGATGATGCCGTATAATGCTATTTCAGTTTAGCCTGTAAGGCAAGACAACATAAAAGATGCTTTCCGACTAAACAGTAAGCCCTCGTTCACACCTGAACGTTTTGTAGCGCGTTCTACGCTCGACGAACGCTCTACAAAACGCTCAAAAATATAAATCCCATTGTATTCAATGGTCTTGTTCCCACCTTGGCGTATTTCCGCCCGTCCCTAACGCGCTACAAAACGGCCCACGCCTGAAAAGGTACAGGTACTACTTTGGGCCGTTTTGTTGCGCGTTTCCATTGGGATACAGCCAAGTAGCCTTAGGAAACGCGTGTTTGTCGCGCTACTTTTTTACCACGAATGGCGGTTAAAAAACGCGCGACGGTCGCGCATATGCAATACGCCTAGGTGTGAACGAGACCTAAAAATAGCCAGAAATACCAGTTTACAGTTGAGATAAATTAAGTTACCATGAAAGAAACCATTTATCTAATAACTAAAAGAATCTCCCACACTTGCAGGCTATAGTAAAATAGTTTAACGCTATAAAATAACTGTGACAATGTAACTACACACGTAACTTGAAAACGTAGTCATTTGGTGCAAATTGCTGTAAATGTCATCGTTATATGTTACATTATATGCAGTTATGTCTGTCTGTCACATAAATGTGATTCATAGATGTTCATGTCCTATAAGCTGTATTTCTAAACCAGAGGGGAAGCATGAGGCTGTCACTTTTCTAAGTAATACATTGATACTGTTAGGAGGAAATTGCTCCTAAATGAAGTTTAGTGACTACTGTTAAAGTTTAGCACTGCCTTTTACAAGGTATATGGCCTTGTCCCATGAGTATATTTGTAATAGGTTGTCATTACATGTATGTCAGTTTGAAGCGGTTTGTGATGCCCATGTTGTCTGGGGACAATGCTCAGAAACCTCCATTCCAGCTTGAACTGTACACTACAATATTTTTTAGTTCAAAACAATGTTCTTTCCTAAAGCTGCGTGTACCTCATTTATTAGAATCTGAATTAACTCTTTGTTGTCTTTTTTTATTTTCAATCCTGGACTAGAAAATTAGAGTTGAAATGTACGTAATAGTTATAGGGCAAGCAAAGAGCTGGTATTTCAGTTTGATAAATGGGGACCTATGTGTTTTATGATTTAGTATTCCCATGCAGTTGGTCTTATTTTCTGTGGACCTTATGTACCAAAATGTTTAGCGCATGATATGTTTTTTAGGCAACCAAGAGACTTTCATTAGCAATTATATTATCTGTAGACAAGATAGAAGCCATATATGAAGTCTATACACAGGTATTTCTGAAAGTACCAGTATATTTGTGCTGGGGTAGAAACTAGAGCTTGTTCCTCATGTAACAAAGTATGTCCATTCATACATCTGCTTAACAATTCTTCTGGCAAATTTTAACAAGATTTTGGTGTGTCCCATGAGTGTCTATGGGAATTTGTGCCCATTCAGCCAAAAGATAATTTGTGAGGTAAGGCACTAGTTGCATGAGAAGCCCTGGCTCGCAATCGGTAGTCCAATTCATTCCAAATGTGTTCAGCAAGTTTGAGTTCGGGGTTTTGTGCAGGGCCACAGGAGTACCTCCAAGCTAAACATGTCAACCCATATCTTTAAGAAACCAGGCTATGTGCACAGGGGCACAGTCCTGCTGAAACAGAAAAAGGTCTTCCACAAAGGTCGGAATGGTACAGTTGCCTAAAATGTCTTTGTACTGTATGCTGTAGCATTAACGGCACCTTTATATATAGTTTATCATGTGAAAATGTTTCTTACCTATGAGTCTTTTCTCCTTCTTTTAGGCCTTGTTCACACCAAATGCAGAGCAGATCCACTCAGGTTTCTGCACACGCAGTGCAGTGGGTTGTGCCGCGTTTTGGATGCGTTCCGGGCCGTTTTTGGTTAAAAAAAATGTATATATATTTTTAGTTTAACATGGGCTTTCAGTGCGTTCCAGGCATTTGCATGCATTTTTGATGCATTTGCATGCGTTCCAGAGCAGGAAAACAGGGCTTGCTGCAGTTTTTTCACCTGCTCTGGACCTGCTCTGAAACTGCACGCTGCGATGTGAACTGGAGCAAAAAATACCATTGGAATACATTGGACGCAGTTTTGATCCGGTCTGCAACTGCTCCGTGCTTGGTGTGAACAAGGCCTAAACATTATTTGTATTATTTTTCAGTGATGGAAGTATCTGTCATATTTTTTTTTCCTATTAGTAATGATTTATGGAAAGATTAATCTTATGGGAAGATTAATTTTTCACTGCTGGGTAACAATTTGTCTTTGCAGTTGTGGTAGTTATATATGCAGCTAGGCTCTTGCAGTGTCATTTCGTCCAGTTTTAAATTAATCATGGCAAATATTTTATCTTTTTTTTCTGTAGGCGTTTTATACCAGCAAAGATGGAACTCAGATACCTATGTTCATTGTCCATAAAAAGGGTATTAAGTTAGATGGTTCTCACCCAGCCTTTCTCTATGGCTATGGAGGATTTAATATATCCATCACACCAAGCTACAGGTAAGAATTTTTCTCTCAATAATTATTTATGCAGAATTTGTCAGCTTAGAGGAAGAAATTGGCGAATAGCTTGAAAATGGAATCCAGTAGCTTTAATTAAGAGAACAAACCAGAGTGCAATGGATAGTAGGGATGCACCGATACCAGTGCCGATACTTGGCATTTTCATGAGAAATACCAGGGTTGCAGCTGGGACCTGGCTCTGGCGCTCCACCACTGTCCTGAAATCATTCGTTTGTATTGTTTTAGAAAAACTATCACATGACAATAAACAAAAATGTATCAGTACTTGGGCAAGTATCAGTACTCGTACTTGCAAAATGGTATCGGCGCATCCCTTTATATATGTTTATTAAAACAGAGATGCACAAATTCCAGGAGCTCTGTATGCTCCTTACAAATGACAGCTGCCTCCTAACTTTTGAATTTTTCTCTAGTCTAGTCTTGGAGTTGGAAAAGTATCTGTACATGTACTTGTACGGTACTTGGTATCGGTGCATCCCTACTGGATAGTAAGGACAAACTTATTGTAATAAATAATAAAGCCCAAAAACAATGGTGCACATTTTCTGTTTTTTAAACTAAAAGAGCAATAAACATGCATTTTTTTTTGCTACCTAAAACAGACAGATGCAAACACTGATACTAACGCTAACCTAGATCAAGCCTTGTTCTAGCTTTTTTATTTTAATTTTATTTTTACAGCCTTTTTATTTATTTTTTTACGTAGACTTTTCCTCTAGTAAGGAGAAGATGCAATGGGGCACATTTATCAATCTGCTCACATCACTTGTTGATCCAGGGAATATCCGATTGCCTTATACAGGAAGGAATTTTTTCCCCTGTTGGAGCAAATTGAACCATGCTTTATAGGGTTTTTTTTGCCTTCCTCTGGATCAACAGGGGGTAATTGGGGGCATAACACTCTGTTTTAGATTTTTCTACTTAAAGGGGGAATGGGTAGAAACGGTGTTTAAAAGGAGAGGGCCACACCCCTGGTTTTATGTTGCAAAAAGAGGGTATTTTGGAGATTGGGGTTTTTTAGGCACTCGAGACAATAGTTTAATATAAAAATTAGAACTTTTATTCAATACATGATTAAAAAGACGAGCTCATATTTATAAAAAAGAGAGAAAGCCGATTCAAGGAGAACACCAACAAGCACCAACAAGCTCCACCAGAATCCTGAATTATGACTAATTGTAGTCACATAAATATATTATTAAATTCATGCAAACAGATTTTTAATTGTAGGTCGCACTCCCTACATTCTGGTTGGCATATCCTAGTTGACTAGACAGCCGAGAAGTTTAATCATAGTATTTGACATCGAATCAAGATGGAACAAAGGATATTATTGGGTGTTTGCGACCATCCATTACCTCTAATTGTATTTGGTATGGCCCTTGGAAAAAGGTGATTGTTAGATACAGTTGGTTCAAGGTTGCTATCCTAACAATGGTTTATAGTCTCTTTGTCGAGTCAACTGGCCATGTCAACCATTAACAGTCACTAGTGCGTTGCTGCATATTATATTGTATACAAAGTCTCAAAGAGATGTATAATCTCGCAGTTTTTTTAATTAAAAAACAATCATATAAGTCAACTGGTTAATGTCTAATTAGAGATGGTGTCAGTAATTCCCATGACCTCAAGGCCTTAGGTTTTTCTACTCTATTGGTTGAATTTGATGGACTTGTGTCTTTTTTCAACCTGATTAACTATGTAAATATGAATCAGACGCAAAGTATGGCCGTTTTACCACGTTAGTGCTGATTCTTTACCGTAATCTGTCACTCAAGAAATGTCGCAATGCTAAACGGAGAGAAACAAAATCTTACTGTTGTACACATCACATCAATTTGCGGCTGATGTTGTGACTGTAGTAATAGTCTATCAGCTGGCACTTGCTCACTCTTCTGAACTGGTATGATGTTTAAAAGTAGTTACAGAGCCAAGTTCAGTAATACATCCTGCTGAAAGTGATAGTATGCAGACATTTTGCTTACATAAATGTTGTGACTGGCAACAATTGTAGTCACAAACTGGTTCACAGCCCTTGCAACTGTTATGAAAATAAAGTGCGTCTTTCCAAAACCCCTGCAGACCGTTAAAAAGAAACAGCCGCATCACAATTAAAATTAGTTCAGCACAATCAGGATTTGGTTCTGCAACATAAATTTAAATTGCGAGAAATATAAAAAAAGATGCATATTCACATGAAGTATCTTCCAATGTATCTGTTTATTTCCCCCTCACATAGCTTTAGCTATCACGGGATCACATGATCGGGAGTTGGTCCCGCCTTTAGTTTGAGACCAGCAGTTGTTTGTGACAATTTGGTCTCAATGCTGGGGGCGTGAGATCCCAGCATAAGCACATGTATGCCTCGCCATGGAAGATAACCCACTTCTGTGATGCCACTGAAAACTGGTTCACGTCATCCAAAACCACATTTGTTTTTAAAGAGTAGCTAAACCCAAAAACAAAAAAGTAATGCATTGCAGCTTACCTGTCCTTTGATATGGTGGCTGCGTTAGGTGTTTCCCCCCACCCCCACCCCCATTTACACCTTCTGTCCTAGTGTGACAAAACTCATTCACTCAGTCTCACTTGTCACCCAGGCTGCTCTTCAGATTTGAACTCCAAACACATCTTCCTCTATTTGTTGCCATTACATGTGGACAGTGTAACTAGTAGTTTAGACAAGACAGTTTGGCAGGAAGATGGGATTGTTTATGCTTTCAGTGCAATTCACTAGGACACTGCATTTCAGGGAGGATTAACTGCTGTTTTATGTACTTGCTGAGATTGTTCTTAGCCTGAAAAATGAAAACGAATGCAGCCAATACAATTTAAGGATCAGTAAGCTGCAGTGTATTACACTTCTGTTCTTAGGTTTAGATATCCTTTAATTACAACAACTACATTTCCAAACTAGCTGCTTATGCACCCTGAGGATAATGTATCATTATCATGGCAGCCTTGAAATACGCTAAGCCAACATATTTATAAAGCTGATATTCAGGCAAATAATAAAAAAAGAGTAATGTATTTGTTAACAATCAATAAATGTATTTTAAGGCCTCATTCACACTGCCCTACAATATGCTGCGTATATATCCGCGTACGCGCTTATTGTCCCATATGCAGCATATGCAAATAAATGGCCTCATATGGAGCCGTATATTTGCGTAGCGTAAAAATGTGCAAAAACAGAATGTTTTAGATATTTCTGTGAAGGAGTCCTTTTGCTCAGACTGCAAGCTATACTAAACAGTTTGATAGGGAATCTGTCTCTAGGCTAGGGGCACAATGAGGGCAATTTATCAGAACTGGAGCAGACAGAATCTGGAGCATATGCCCATGGCTACCAATTAATGTATATCTTTAATTTTCAAGGCTTAACTGAACAAACTGAAGAGAGAAGCTGATTGGTTGGCACGGGCAAGTGCTCCAGATTCTGTCTGCTCCAGCTTCGAGAAATTCTCCCAAATGAGTTTTCATCATATTAACATACAATGAGGGGAATTTATCAAAACTGGAGCATACAAAATTTGGAGCAGTTGCCCAGGGCAACCAATTAGCTTCTCTCTCCAGTTTGTTGAGTTATGATTTGAAAATTACAGAGAGAAGCTGATTGCACAGCTGCTTCAGATTTTGTCTGCTCCAGTTTTGATAAATTTCTCTCAATGCTTCTAGATCTTTAAAACTTTTTTAGGACATGCTGTGTTCATTATTATTATTATTACATAGTATTTATATAGTGCCAACAGTTTGCGCAGCGCTTTACAATATAAGGAAGACATTACAATACAATTCAAGACAAGATGGGAAGGAGGGCCCTGCCCCTGAGGGCTTACAATCTAAAAGGGAGGGGGAATTGATACATGAGGAGGTAGCTGTGTGGGGATGAATTATTTGAGAATGTGATGGTTCAGTGGTTAGGTTGAGGTGGGATAGGCTTCCTTGAAGAGATGAGTCTTTAGGGAACGCCTAAAGGCAGTCAAGGTGGGAGATAGATGGACAGGTTGGTGTAAAGAGTTCCAGATGATGGGAGAGACTCTAGAGAAGTGCTGGAGGCCAGTATGGGAGGAGTGGACAAGGGAGCTGGAAAGTCAATGGATGAGCGGAGGGTACGGTTAGGGTGATACTTTGAGACAAGGTTTGAGATATATTCAGGGGCAGAGTTGTGGATGGCTTTATAAGTGACTTAATATTTAGAATTTTATCCTTTGGGCGAGTTGAAGCCAGCGTAGGGATTGACAGAGGGGGGTTGCAGACACTGAGCGGTTGGTAAGGCGAATGAGTCGAACAGCAGCATTCATGATGGACTGAAGGTGGAAGGCCAATGAGGAGGGAGTTACAATAGTCAAAACGAATAGTTCAATTCTAGTTTACTGATAATGAGATCTGCCAACACAGTACAGACATTATAGCCACACCCCCTCATTGACAGATAACTTGGGTAGGGTTTTTAAGCAAATAAAAAGCACTTAAAATGGAAGCAGCAATTTTTTATTTCACAATTTGTGTGATATGAATGGGAACATGCAACAAATGTGAGGCAGCTTTTATCCCAACAAGGCTGCAAAAGTTGAAATAAACTTTAAAGTGAACCTGTGGTATAAGTATAGCGTATCAGGCAAGCAGATGCCTGTAAAAAATAAGCCGAATACTTACCTTTCCAGCTGTTTAAGCCTCTGAACTCTGCTCCATTGCTGAGCGGGGACCCATTTGGAAACAGACGCCTCTAGAAATGTTGATTTCCTGGGTCCCTTGTAACACTCACTGGTTCCCACTGCTGACTTCTGTGTTACTACTGTGTCATGCAGTGACATGGACTCTTGAGGGACCATGTCTCGGCAACAGAGCAAAACGCAAAGATGATGGAAGTGGGAAAGATAAGTATTCTGTTTACAAGTGCTTGTGTGATCCTTTCTACATACTGTGTGACAGGCCTGTGTACCTCCTTAGGACTGGCTGGATAGAAATACAAATCCTTTGTCAGGTAAAAAAGCTCCTGTATATTTATTTCAAGTGTCTATCTGGAGTTCAGTTTTATAAGGTCCAACCTGTGTTTGGTCCACTTGAACTGTTGTTCTTGAACTTGTTACATTGTGGGGTTCTCGGTTGCAAAGTACCCAACAGGACTTGGCCTTGCGGGCCATCCTGACACAGACCTTACCTCCTAACCTTTTTCCCCAGTTGGCTTGCCCACATTGTAACAAGACACGGGAATGGAGCTGAAGACTGAAATGTCCCTTTAATGGAATTGTTTACCTTTAGGATTATGCTGGGAAGGTTTTAAGTATTTCAAGTCGCTCATAATTTCAAGTGCCATTCTCTTTTAAGACTGTTTGAAGGTGTAATACAGCATTAAAGTATGGAAGCCAGAGGATAAGACCATGGAAAAGAAGCCAACTGAAATGTAAAAAAAAAAAACGTTCCCAAGAAATGGTCACGTAAAACCTAATGATTTAACATTTCAGAATGCCCCCATCAACCAGTCAGCATCTCTTTTTTTTTATCTTCTAATCTGCAGTGAGAGAACACCTTGGTACAAGCAACACAGATATTACTTTTAGACAATTCGGTCATAAATTGTTGAGTTCCAAAAAGTTGCTCGTTTTACATTTTGTATTAGACAAGCTGTACAAATTTCAATTATATACTTTTATTTCAGTGTTTCCAGACTTATATTTGTAAGGCACTTAGGCGGTATACTTGCTGTAGCCAACATCCGAGGAGGAGGAGAATATGGGGAAACTTGGCACAAAGGTTAGTAAATATACGCTTTTGCATAGATTGACATTTTATGAAAATAAAAAGAAATGGCCCCTTTCAGATGGGTGGTCCGATCAGGTCCATCTGTCAGTTTTTTAGGCAGATCTGATTAGAAGCCAAATGTTAGCCTTTGGGCAACTGGGTCTAAATGGGCGTGCATCCGTTTACATCCAACTACCCCCCAACTGTGCCTAGGTCCGGGATCCAATTTGGATCTGATCATGACAGAATGGTGGTAATCTGATGTAAACGGTCACATGTCCACTTACATCTAACTCCCCATAGTCCTAACATGGGTCCGGTAAGTTCAGGTTTTTCCTCCATCGTAATATGCTTCCAGATGGGTGCACATCTGTGTTTGACAAAATGTTTATGTAGCTATTCCTGAAGAAGAAATCTAAGGGTATATTTTATATTATCCAGTAAGCCATGTGAAAGGTATCACCTACATTTTTACTTTCCTACTGTTTATAGCATTTGCTTGTTTTTATCACCTAAACTAGACGAGTTGACCTAAAGACCAGTTTGGGAAACACATCTTATACTATTCCTAAATAGATTGAAGAAGTAGAATTTTGATTACGGTGTAACTTTTTATTTTACATGAAGAATTTACATGTACATTGCATGATCTGAAAATATCCTAATTTCTATTCAGGAAATAGCTAATTATCTACATTCTCAATTCAAGTTTTGGTTTGCATCTTTGCATTTTGTTTCACATTTCTTGATTGTGCACATGTTGTTCTGACTACTGAACAAGACTGTTTTAAGACGTCATTGATTTCTTTCTTTCATTGTGCAGGTAAACATTTAGGCTCATGACTTATTTCTTAAAATAGTACTTTTTGTTACAGCTTGAGGAATGTCATTAGATGTGAATTCCAGCATCCTGTAAAATAACCCATATAATAGCTCAACTCCAGTTTAGCTTTACTTAATGTTGGATAACAAGTATTGTAACGGTTGTTATTTTGAAGCACCCAAGAAAAGTGGCTCCCCAGTGAGCACCTGAGAATTTGAGTCTTCCCAGCCTGATGGAATGTGTCCCAAATTCTATTACAACGCCAGGTAGAGGTTGGGGTCATGTCCACAGATGATTCCACAGACATCAAAGCATCACCTCACTGGCCGTAAGAAAGGGGGTAGCACCCAATGCCAGCCATTCTAGTATTACAGGGAGAATTAGTGACAGAGTACACAGTACATTTTCGCAAAGGAAACCACTTTCTATGAATATCCACCCTGTTTGAAGTATGCATGGGACAAGTACCTTGCAAGGACTGATTACTGTTTGCCTAAGAGTTATTGAATGTATATGTCCATCAAACTCAGTCTTTGTATCTCTCTCTTTACACACACACACGTACACACACACACTCTGTACTTTGCTGTATTGGTATTGCTGGATTGCACTAAGCCACCCTGAGGTGCAAATGTTTCTGGTAGGGCTGGTAATGATTAAAAATTTCCTGTTCGATTAATCGAAATTTTTTTTAATCGATTAATTTCGATTAATTATAACACACATACAGATCCGACTACATTGGCCTATACACATACAGCACAGCAAGGAAGTGATAAAATGAACTAGGATCACACTAATCCAGCACGGTATTAATCTCACGTGCCCCACTCAATATGGCCGCCGCTTGAGTGGGGCAACTCAGAATAATAACGCGCTGGGTTAGTGTGATCCTAGTTTATTTTATTACTTCATTGCTGTGCTGTGTGTGTATAGGCCAATGCCAGGGATCCCAACCTGAAATAAGCAATTTCAGGGAGGTGTCCCTCTCATTTCAGGGAGGTGCCCTCTCCCCCGCATCCGTGGAGGGGGGGTCAGGGGGGGCTGGGAGAGAGCACCCCCCTGAAATGATGGCAGATAGCACAGGAAGCAATAGCTTCTTTGCTATCTGCAGACTTCTTTTTTTTTTTTGCAGTTGTCAGTTGCAGTTGTCAAACTAGCTATTGCACCCGCCCCCTGCTGCTTTGAATCACCAGAAGAGGACCTGATAGAAAAATTCAGGTCCCCCTCTGCTGATTGACAGCAGAAGTGGGCGTGTGCATTAGCTAGTTTTCTATTGGCTATTGCAAAGTGCAATAGCCAATAGTAATCTAGCTATGCAATCGTATGCCTTTTTTTTTTCTTTTCTGACTGACGGTCAGGCCGCGGCTCCCGATGTCAGAAAAGAAAAAAAAAAACGATCCCAGGGAAAGGTTTAATCTGCTCGATTGAGCAGATTAAACCTTTCTGGTAAAAAGTGTGTCTCTCCCGGGTGTACTCACCGGCCCAAGCAGCTCCATCAGGTAACGAAGGGGAGGGGGAGGAGTCCAGTGACGTCACGGACATCGACATCACCGGACTCCTCCCCACTTCCCTTCGTTAGCTGACAGAGCCACTTGTGGAAGGGGGGGAGGAGTTCGGTGACGTCGATGTCCGTGACATCACCGGATCTCCAACGGAAGACCCGTAAGCCGGCGAAGAGGTGAGTACGGAGCCAAAGAACTTTGATCGATCAAAAAATGAACGATTAATCGTTAATTTCCGCAGCCCTAGTTTCTGGTCATTGGTAAATCAATGTTATAAAAACTCATCATCAACCTGTGTTTCTGCAGGTAAGTCATTCACCAGCTCGGCCCATCTGCTTCCCACCACCACTTTAAAGTGGCAAAATTATTCACCCCCCTGATAATTGTTCCTATTTAGTTGCATTACCACCTGGAATTAAAATGGATTTATTGGGGATTTGTATCATTTGATGTACACAACATGTCTACCACTTTGAAGATGCAGAATATTTTTTATTGTGATCCAAACAAGAAATAAGACCCAAAAAAAACCACAGAAAACAAGCGCGCATAACTATTCACCCCCACCTACCCACCTATCCACCCACCTACCTACCCACATATCTAGCAATTACAGCTGCAAGTCTCTTGAGGTGTGTCTCTATAGGCTTGGCACATCCAATCACTGGGATTTTGGCCCATTTTTTAAGGCAAAACTCCAGTTCCTTCAAGTTGGATAAGTTTTGCTGGAGTACAGCAATCTTTAAGTCATGCCATAGATTCTCAATTGGATTGAGGTCTGGGTAAGACATTTGTTTCCTCTTAAACCATTCGAGTGTTGCTTTAGCAGTATGCTTAGGGTCAATGTCCTGCTGGAAGGTGAACCTCTGTCCCAGTCTCAAATCTCTGGCAAACTAAAGCAGGTTTCCCTCAAGAATTTCCCTGCATTTAGCACCATTGATCATTCCGTCAATTCTGACCAGTTTGCCAGTCCCTGTTGATAAAAAAAAAACATTCCCACAGGATGGTGTTCTCGGGGTGATGAGAGGTCTTGGGTTTACGCCATAGCGTTTTCCAAAAAGCTCAATTTTGGTCTGATCTGACCAGAGTACTTTCTTCCATATGTTGGGGGAGTCTCCCACATGCCTTTTGGCGAACACCAAAGCGTTTGCCTATTTTTTTCTGTAAGCAATTACTTTTTTTTCTGGCCACTCTTCCATGAAGGCCAGCTTTGTGAAGTGTATGGCTTAAAGTGGTCCTATGGACAGATACTCCAAACTCTGCTGTGGAGCTCTGATCCCTCAGGGTTATCTTTGGTCTCTTTGTTGCCTCTCCGATTAATGCCCTCCTTGCCTGGTCCATGAGTTTTGGTGGGCGGCCCTCTCTTGGCAGGTTTGTTGTGGTGCCATATTCTTTGCATTTTTTAACAATAGATTTAATGGTGCTCTGTGGGATGTTCAAAGTTTCCGATTTATTTATTTTTTATAACCCATCCCTGATCTGTACTTCTCCACATCTTTGTCCCTGACCTGTTTGGGCGAGCTCCTTGGCCTTCATGGTGCCACTTGCTTGGTGGTGCCCCTTGCTCAGTGGTGCTGCAGACTCTGGGACCTTTCAGAACACTTTGATTGCACACAGGTGATCATTATTTAACTAATGTGACTTCTGAAGGTAATTGGCTGCCCCAGATCTTATGTAGGGGCTTAATAGCAAAGGGGGTGAATACAGGTTTCCCTTGTTTATTTTTGTTTATACTTTTTTAAAACAAGTTATTTTCTTTATTTCACTTCACAATTTTGAACTATTTTGTGTAATCCAAATAAAAATAAATTTTAATTCCAGGTGTTAATGCAACAAAATAGGAAAAATGCCAAGGGGGGTCAATACTTTTACAATCCACTGTAATTATCACTTAAGGGAGGTTCACATTATTCAATAATATTGTAATCATAAATATTAATGTCCTTCATCTGACTTCACTGCAATATCATAAAAGCAATACTGAGGATTGTGCTTGTAATCTGAGATTGCTCTTTAGAGGCAGTTTTCGTAAATATATAAGCACATGCTTTTTTTTATTTTAAGCTGCCTGTTTGGATAAGAAGCAAAACTGTTTTGATGACTTCCAGTGTGCAGCTGAATATTTGATTAAGAAAGGATATTCCTCTCTTCAGAACATTACCATCAATGGAGGATCAAACGGTGGCCTTTTAGTAGGTAAGTCTATTTAACTAAGTGGGCTGACCATAAATGTGCTGTGCAGCAAAAAATGGCATGAATAATGAAGAGCCAAACAGCTTTATAGCCAGGGAAGTTTCTCCACATACTGAAAGCAGTTGTAAAATGTCAGTAGACATTGTGATCGTAGTAGCTTGGCTTTTTAAAGTGAAGTGTTTACTTTTAAAAGTAAACCTGCTTAAGACACCACAATGTGCCCATTATGACATTTATGAGACAGAAATGTATTCCTCTCTTGTTTGTTTTCACTTTGTTACTGGGAACTGAATTTATGACAAATCTATCAACTGTCATCCTCCTGCTGAGTGAGTGCGCTCACTGGTCACTGAGGCATTGTCACTGGACAGGGGAATGAGTATTGTGCTTAGGAAATTCATGGTCCAGTAACAAGTGACACTAAATCAGAAAGGAGCACAGGATAGGCTCTTCTGGCTGATAAAAGTAACATCAGGCATCTTGTAGTGTCTGGATATGCAGGACTTTAAAATGAAGTACAGACTCTCTTAAATTTAGCTGAATTGTTTATAGCTATGATCATTTGCAAACAATAAATGTGGGTGAAATACACACACATGACCTGTTTTATCTGCAACATGATCTGTAATTCTGTCCAGTCACTTTTTATGATTTATGTGACTGTGCCAGAAGGGTGAATGAAGCCTTTTTCTGCTAGTTAAGGGTACAGTTGTGTCTGCCTGCCCATAACCCGCTGATGGGACAATGAAGCTACACACTAGTGCAGGGGGGAGCAAACTCTGGCCCTACAGGTGTTGTGGAACTACAAATCCCATAATGCAAGATTCTCACAGCCACACACAACTTCCAGAGACAGATGCATGATGGCATTTGCAGTTGCACCACTGCCCGATGGCCAGAGCCTGCCCCCTGCACTGATGTCATCACCTCTGCTCACTCAGCTCTCTCTTCCCTTCATGCAGAACCTGATTGGTTCCTAGTGTTGCCACTCTCCAGGTCTGAGTGCTGCTGTATAGAGGGGACAGGGGGTAATATCAAGACAGATCCAGTTACTCATATTAGTTAAACATTTCCTCCCTTTTACAAGAATTCACAACTGTGTAATAATTATATTAAGCTGCATTCCATTTAATAAATTCTGTCCAGCAAGGTCCTTCACCTGATGTTTTATTTTAGTTTTGCCAAAAGTAAACCCTTCAGCATATCCTTCTCATACTATGTAAAAGTAAATATATTGAGGATGTTGTACTTTTCAGTGTTAGAGATTATCTGTGTTACTAATGCTTGATAAGAAAGTAAATGAGAAGTGCCGGAGTTACACAGAGGCTATATTTTCCCTTGAATTCTATAGGGAAAAGACCTATATTTTTTCTGCATGACAGAATTACTTGCTACCTAAGCAGCTGACCTACACGTTTCTTGCTTTGACATTCACCGTACAAGTTTCCTTTTTCTTTATTTTTAGGATCCTTCTGTTCCCCACAGATTTAATTTCCATTGTTCTCTCTAAGAACAAGGCTCTGAATTGCCAATTTCCTCATTTTTATATAAATGGCCTGAAAGTAAATCCTCGTTGCACTTTCCAGTACTTTAATTTCCTCTAGAAAGTCCCAGTAAAATATTTTATTTAATAAAGCTGGCTGTCTTTTGAACTATGGTAATCAACTGCTTCCCTTTCAGGCATTTTATCCTGGGCGATATATAACAAACCGTTTTATGTATAGGTGTGATAGAATTTCTCCACTCCAGTGACTGTAAATTTCCAAGCAAAGAAATCGCAAATGAAACTTTATTAATAACAATTATACTCCACATAAACTTTTTTGAAACATTTCTTTTTTTTTGTTTACCTACTTATTCAAAATAGATGTAAAGACCTGTATCTTGTAGATATTTGTTCTCTTGTCAACCATACCATGTGCATGTATTTAGATACTAGTCACTTCCCACATTCTGAAGTCTTTGTGCTCACTATGGCACCATGCAAGAGTGTCCATGGGTTCCTAACACCCAGGAAATTTACATTTGTTGGTACCCTTCCATAAAAAAGAGAAACCCACAATTTTCTCTAAAATAACTTGAACTTCAAAAGCGTAATTGACATCAATCATTGTTTTTTCCCTATTTGAAAAAAATAGATTTGCTTTTTATTCAGCAGAATATTGTAAAAATTAAAACAAATGAAAATGTTATGGACGACAATGACATGACTGTTAACTCAATATTGTGTTGCACAACCGTTAGAGGCAATCACTGCAAACAAGTGATTTCTGTAGCTCTCAGTGAGACTTCTGCGCCTACTAACGGGTAGTCTAGCCCACTGTTTTCAAGCAAACTGCTCCAGCTGTCGAAGGTTTAAAGTGTTCCTTCTCCAGAGTACACGTTTCAGCTCTTTCTATAGATGTTTAATAGGATTCAGCTCAGGGCTCACAGAAGTCCACTTCAGAATAGTCCAGTGCCTTGTTCTTAGCCATTTCTGGGTGCTTTTAGCTGTGTTTTGGGTCTTTATCCGATAGGAGGACTCATGACCTATATAAGCCCCTATGGATCTGTTTATGGGTGCTGCTGTCCTAAAGCAATTTTAATTCAGTGCATAATTTATAAGCCTTTTCTGCATCTAAAATGTATATATGTTCTTTTTTTATATGTTATTTTCAAGCTGCCTGTGCAAATCAGCGTCCTGACCTGTTTGGATGTGTCGTTGCTCAAGTTGGCGTTCTGGACATGCTGAAGTTCCACAAGTTTACTATTGGCCATGCTTGGACCACAGACTTTGGCTGCTCAGACAAGAAGGAACACTTTGAGTGGCTGTACAAGTAAGTTTTGACTTATTTCTGTAAGTATCTCTTCACTGTGTGGAAATAGAACTCCAGCCAAAACGGTTTCAGGTTTTGAAGAATGAGTGGAAAGGTCTCTGCCATGCTTTCTGTACCCACTGGAGAGATTTCCCTAAATTTCTAGCCCATAGACACACCAGGAAGTGAGTGGAAATCTCAACAGTTGGGGGTGAAAAGTTAATGTATAATATGCTTGAGAGATGATGATCTGTCAGTGGGTGGTATGCAACCTCTGTAGGCACCCCCTAAACTACTAATTTCAGGGAGTGTAGTTTCTCTAGCTGATCACATTTGTTCTCTTGAGATGAGGTCCAGGGGTGTCTGCTCAATACATGTACATGTACACCCAGCCAATAAGAATGTGCGTATTTAAGCCACAGTCTTGAACAAGACCAGTTCCATCCCTCATGGTATAACGTACGCTAAAGTGAAATCCACACCAGAGAAAATAATGAACCACAAAAATATTAATTTTGGTAAAAAGAAAATATACACTTATTCCACAAAATAAAAAGCGCAGTACCATGGATTTCTTCTTTGTCAGTTGATTCGCTTTGGCTTGTAGGATAGCTACGTTTTCAAAGGTACACATTTCTGTTTGTCATTTCATTATTTTAGCGGAACAAGTAGCAATTATTATAGGAAATCGTAATCTGATAGTAGTGTATGCTGAACTCAGTATGGTAGAAAATGAAATGATGATATGTACGGCTGGATGTGGAAGGCTTGAAATCCTATACTGTAAGCACTTATTGATTTGATTTAATGGTATACAATAGCACTGATACAGCAGGAAAGAATGCTACTAAGCAGGAAGGAGAGTGATGTTATGATGGTCTTTTTGCATTTGTAATGCTACTGTCTTTGTTTTAGTATCCCTGATGGTAATTGGGGTAGACTGAGCTGGACTGGCACTATGAAGATTGTTACTTGTTTTTTTTTCAACCTGCCATCAGAAGTCTTTTGTAGAAGCATGTAGATACAATTTCACAGTAGTACTCAGTATGAATGTCATTATTGCTCATCATTTTTATTTTCAGTTTGGTATTGTGCAATTATTTGATATGTTAACCAGGTTTAGCTCCAATATATAGCTGCATTGAGGAACTATACTCAAAGGCTTTTATAGTTGTCCCAGCACCCATAGCTATGCTACCTATATGCCACTTTCAGAGAGAGTAGATCTCTAGATCTGATCTGTAGCTGTGTGTGTGTGTGTGTGTGTGTGTGTGTGTGTGTATATGTATATGTATATATGTATATATATATATATATATATACACACACACACACAACACACTCAATCGGCATAACAAAATATTGACTCTTTAACACAGCTTCTATGCTGGGGCAGCTAAAAATGCATTCAGCACTAACAGAAATGGTTGAGATGTCTAATGCCTCTCTCAAGAAAACATATTGGGATGGAAGTTATTAAAACTGGAGCAGATTTGCACTGCAACCAATCAGCTTCTCTGTCTCATTTTCAAATCTTACCTGAGCAAACTGAAGAGAGAAGCTGATTAGTTACTATGGACAGATGCTCCAGATTTTGTCTGATCTAGTTTTGATAAATTCCCCACATTGTGTACTCTTAAAAATATATGGATACAAACATTGGATTGTCTTAAAAACTCATGCATAGCTTTGTGTGTACTTAAAATGTGACGGTAATGTAAAAATGTTATGTATATTAAGAATTATTACTTACTAAAATGAGTATGACTAAAGTAAAAAAACAAAACAAGAAAACGCTGCGGTCCCTTGTAATCCTGCTGTAACGTTTGGCCTTTTTCCTGCACATGTGCAGCATAATTCAACTTTTAGATGCCAAGAAGTTGATTTCCAGGGCTGGGAGTAACTTTTTGCATCATATGATGTACACTCAATCCTTGAACACATGTGAGGAGGCTTGGGATTAGCCATAGACGTGTGCTCAGACATGGGACTGCATTATCTATGAAACAAGCCTTAAAACAAACACGTGCTTTGCCCAATCATGACAAAGCAATAGGTTTTTCTTTAATCCCCCCTCCCCAGCAGCATATGTTTTGCTTTCCCCTTCTCTGTTTAGTGCCAGAACCTGAGGGGAATACCCGGTACACCCGGGTATGTTGGAGCATGTGACTCATTCCATGTGACAGTGCTTGGCCAACCTGTGCTCTTTCATGGGAAGTCTATTGCCCTGTGTGACCTAGAACTCTGGCGAGCCTTCGCTAACACAGCGCTTTCTTTTAACTACCAGTTGAGCAAAGAAAGGTAAGTCTATGCATTAGTAGAGGCCTGCATTACTGCAAACCATTGCTTTGCCCTGCATGGACAAAACACAGGATGACTTTAAATCCTGGAAAGAGAGGATTATAGACGGACCAGTGGACTACGTTTGGTTTCCACAGCTTAAATATATCAAACTTGACTTACTGACCACATGGTAACGTTCTGCTTTAAGGTGAATGAGAGAGGCTTATGGTTTTTATGTTTACATGCAAATTTAAATTAAATCAATGAGATGTTTTTCACAAAGACCAATACCAGTAAATGTGTTCAGTCAACTAGAATTTTGTTTGTCAAACCTCTCAAGTGGGTGGCACATAAATCCTGCTACTTCCATCACTGGACATTTGTAGGATTTCTAGGTAAGGTTTATTACTACAGATGACATGTACTCTTCAGCTACTGGCTATTAGAGATACAAAATTATTATTTTAATGAAATTATTATGAAATTATTTTAATGTCTTGGTAGATTTTCATTTACTTTCAAATTATTTCTAAAAAGATCAAATGTCTTAAGGCGTCTCTAGCACTAAAATAAAAATGCAAAATAATAGAAGAAATTACAAAAAATCTAAATAAATGCCCCCTGCATAGATCACTCACTTCTCCTGTTGCCCATTCCTCCAATCTCTGCCGTAACAGCTAAAACTTGTGCAGGATCTGACACTTTTGGCTTTCACGATGTTCTGTAGTTTCATTTTTTTTTTTGTCATGAGTAGTTTCAGCATAGTGCTTATGTTTTATGTCCTAATGACCATGTTTTCTCCCATTACAGGTACTCACCACTTCATAATATCAAAGTGCCTGATGATGGAGCGCAGTACCCATCCACATTGCTTCTCACAGCTGACCATGACGATAGAGTTGTCCCTTTACACTCTCTAAAATTCATAGCTACGTTGCAGCATGTTGTGGGCCAAAGCCCAAAGCAACGCAATCCCCTTTTCATCCATGTAGACACCAAGGCTGGCCATGGAGCAGGGAAGCCCACTACTAAAGTGATCGAGGAGGTTTCTGACATGTTTGCTTTCATTGCACGATGCCTAAACATCAGTTGGATTGAATAGGTGAATCGGAGCAAGTTTCCATTTTTATGCAAGGGCTTTTATGTCACATGGGAACTGTCAATGTATTCATAGGTAACAAACAGCTGGATTTCTGACATCAATCTTTATTACTTGAGGTGATGGGAAATATTGGAATTTCAGCATGTGGGTATCAGCAACTGAAATGTGTTAATTTTTGTGTTACAACGTGTTTAAGTATTGGCCAGAATTATATTGTAACTTGAAATATATTTTGGCCACACAACAAATATGATGTTTAAAATACCTGAATAATGGTGCATATCAAATAAAATGATTTTCATTACCTTCTCATTTTACGTTGTACACTATTCGTAATTTACTTTTGCTATCAATGTTTTCATATTTGTTTTGTTCTACAAAATGATTTAGTGTATATTTTGGAAAATGATGTAGTGTATTTATTCATTTTATTCAAGTCTTGCATCTGGCTTGCTTATGGAGAAATGACTATTTTAGACCTAATCTGTTGAAACGGTTGTTATAGGGTAGAGGCTAATGCTGCAGGTTATAAATATTGACATATTAAATTAGCCAGATTGGCTGTTATAATTTATGACTGTTTCTGCTCGTGTATGTGGTCTTCTACTTTCCTAATTGCAATCAAAAAGGTTTGATTTAGCTACCAAATTGTCCATAAATGTGTATGGGAAGTTCTTTAACCACTTGTTGACCAGGTGTTTACACCCCCCCCCCTTCCTGTCCAGGCCATTCCTCAGTATTCAGCGCTGCTGTACTTTGACATTTATTCCGTCAGGCAACGCTGTACTGAAATTAATTTTATACCATTTTGTGGGTACAGACAGAGCTTTCTTTTGGTGGTATTCATGTATTATTCAGTATTCATGGTATTACATTATAATGCATTTATTATTACCCAATTTTTTGGTAAAATATAAAAGAGGGGGTCCCGTCAGGTAAATAGACACCAAACATGTCAAGCTTTAAAATTGCACGCACCTGCGAAATGGCAAAAAACTACCATACCCAAAATTGACCATAGCGACACGTTGAAATCTTTTACAGCTCATCAGTTTAGTGTTATCAGTGATTGATGGCCCTAGAATTATTGCTCTCACTGTGACGTTCACGACACTATGTAACATGTGCAGCGTAATGGGCGCAATCGTTGTTTCCGCACGTATGCGCACCCGTGCGTGCGCATTGTTTTTTAAAAAATTCTTTTTCATGTGTGACTTTAAATTTTTTTCCTATTTTTTTTTCACTTAACTTTATTGCTATCACATAGGGGGCTAAGAAACCCCCCTATGCGATAGCAAAGAGATGTGACAGGTCCTCTTTATGGAGACATCAGGGATCTCCAAGACCCCTAATGTCACCTTGGACCCCTCAAAGAAGCAGATGAAGAAGAGATCTGCTTCATCAGCTTCTCTCCAGAGTCTGAAGCTGGAGAGTGACAGCAGAAGGGATGTAATATACATCCCTTCCTTATTCTGACACCGGAGAGGGGACCGGACAGAGATCTTGCACTGATCTCACTCTCATCCCCTGTCACAGAGCCACCATGCTGATCCTGGGCTCGCACCGTGCACAGCGGAGCTCGGGAACAGCAGGAGGGGGGGCACACATACCGGCACGTTATACAAGCGATCTGCCGGCTCTATAGCTGGCGGATCGCTTGTATGTTAACAGGCATCGCTGCCTGTTTTAAAATCCGGGCAGTTTCCCACTCGCGTGGGGCAGGGCTAAAAGGCCGTCTTTTAATGGCCTGTTACATCCAGGAAGTTTCCGGTCGGCCGTTTGCTTACATCGCCGGCCCGGGAGTCGGTTAAAAGTAATTGAAACACAGAGGTTGATTTAAAAGGAGTGGAGTGATAAAATTCTCTAGCACTGGCTGAAGACTTGAATCAGGTCATATGGCAAGAAACCTTATGGGGTCTATCCAGTTTTGGTATACAGCAAGTCAATGGGGCCACACAGCACAGGCTGTAGTTATATTATATATATATATACATATAAAATATGGAAATATATTTATATGTACTGGGGAATAGAAAAATATAGAATGCAATCTTCAAGCAATATCCAGGCAACCTCGGTTCTTTTCCAGAGAGTGTAGCGTTTATTGGAACACGGAAACAGATGTCCAACAGGGTATATACAAATTAAAAATAAAAGCCCTACGAGTCCCTTTCATAATTCTACACCCTTTCTTTCATAATGACTTTAGCAAGTATACAGACTCTCCATACACCCAGCATATACGTTCAATCTATATATGCACCTATGTGTCTCTAGGTCTCTCCTTTCATGACTTTCGTCATAATAATTCTCTTGGGCACTTTTAACCTCTCAATTCATATACAGTTTACTGCCAGTTGGTAACACAGAAGGGATTTCTGATTGGCTGGTCTGATGATCACTTTGATGTTACACCCATTAAAATAATCTGTTGTATACATCCTCTGTGTAGTGGCAACTAAACAGGTTTCTTTTGACAAAAGCTACACAGCTGTTTCCATTGTTTACAGTTAAACAATGCTTCATGACCCTAAAAACAGTATTATCACAGGCCCAACTGGTCAGGATGTTTATTACAATAAAGACCTGGTTAGCATAAGTCAAGGGGACTGAGCTGTGTTACATAAAAATCCTTAATGTCCTTCAACACATAAGCATACATCCTCATACACATCCCAAATATATCTTCCATACATACCTTCAGTCATACAAATGCCCCAGTGACCAGCACTAAATGGGACTTCATAACCCAGGATGTAAACAATGGACCAGCTGTGGCTCTGCAGCAGAGGTAGGAGGGGAGGGTGGAAATAAAACCTGAACCTGGGGTGGAAGTAAAACCTGAACCTGTCCTTTAAGGGTCAGTGAACAGCAGACTAACTCTTAACTGAACCATTTTTATAAACACTGTCGGCTCCTAACGCTGCCACACCTGCAAATATCAGAAAAAACATTTAGTATGTACAGTTAAATCTTTGTTGTATTCAATGTATATCAAATACAACAAGTAACACCAAACAGGTCTGATAAAAACGTTCCCTGAATAAAGTGTGAGACACATTATAGAGCAAAGTACAAAAAGTGTAGAACAAAAATCCACAATGCGCTTCTCTGGGATCGGGACTTACCGCCAGCGAGAGGACTCTCACGGGCAGAATCAACAAAGGCAAGCAAAAACGTCTTTTCACATGGCTCCGCACCTGAAGAGATACCAAAGAGGTACATTCTGTGAGTCAATGAGTATTCCAGTCCTTATTAAAGAGAAAGAGGGAATGACAAACGGGGACAACGAAGACCAGGAGAAATGGTAGGGAAGAGGAAGGATTTGCCCTCAAAGTGGATCACTACATAACGAGAAAGTAAAGAAAAATGGAGTTCCAATCCGAAGAAAGCAGCCAAATCCTTAGTATGACTAAAGATCTGCAATCATAGAGTTTTACAATCCTTGTAATGATAAATAGAGTTGACTCGAAGGGAAATTATTTCTCAACAAAACTGGAGTTTTACCTTTTATTAGCAATATTTCCTACCAGGAAATGAAAATACTTTGAGAAACATGTATTTCTGCAAGTCCATTCAAGCTAAAAGCCTTCATAAATTGTTTTATGCATTTTGTGGCCCTGTTAATGTAAATCCTATAGCCAATAATATTATATTCACAGTTATTCCTATTTGGAAATTATTCAGTGAATGCCCAAATAAATCTAATTTAAGGATACAATATTAAAGCTCAGACCTTTTTGCAGGCAGTCATTATTCTAATCCATTACTTGGCCCCGGTTTTCATGGATCAGCTTAGGTGAAATTGTGGTTTTGGAACATTGATCTGTGCGGCCGTGGCACCGATATTAATAGTGTAAACTGTAAGGAAATGGCTCCTTAAAAGTTTCTCCATGTCTGTGTGGCTTGCCAACGTTATCAGTAGCGATCATTATTAAATCAGACCCGTTAGTAGGTAAAAAGACAATAAAACCAGTTTCCAGTTGTTGATAAATCATAGTGTAATCTAATATATTAGACACATTGTTGCTGATTTTGCAGGATGAAACAGAAAATAACTGCTGATAACAGTAGAACACATCTAGGAAAGTAAAATGTAAGAAAGATTCAGATGAGTTCATGAACCAAGCGATAAACTTGCACTGGCAGAATCAATACTGGCAAGCAATAACAAGGATGGGGTGACTAATGGCCACATAGAAGCATAAAAAAGGGGAAAGGGAATTTTTTTTTTATTGTGTACGATGGCAAAGATTTAGGTCCAGAGGACTCAGGACTTTAAAACTTATTTAATGGTATTGTTCTTGGCTAGCTATTACTGTAAACATACAGAAAAGCTCATTTATCAAGAGTAGAAAGGAAAAGAGTGTAGTTCCCATGGCAGCTAAGCTTAACCTGGCTGTATCTGGTGCAGAACAAAACTTGTTTGCACAGGTTGCTATGTGTAACTATTTTTTTCTCAATGTTACCAGGACCAGATATGTGGAGAAGCTATCTTGGAATTTTAGACGTGAACTTCCCTTTTCAAAATGTTTTTCATGTCATATACGGTACATCTTCAGAGATCAAAACAATAGGATGTTAGCATTTAAGCTTATATAGAATACACCTAAAATAAAACAGCAATTGGGAAAATCCCAATCCCATCCCAGCAGATCAACTTCCCTAAAGACTCATCTCTTCAGGGAAGCCTATCCCACCTCAACCTAACCGCTCAACCATCACATTCTCAAACAATTCATCCCCACACAGCTCCCTCCTCATGTATCACTTCCCCTTCCCTTTTAGATTGTAAGCCCTCAGGGGCAGGGCCCTCCTTACCATCTTGTCTTGATTTGTATTGTGATTGTAATGTCTTTCTTATATTGTAAAGCGCTGCACAAACTGTTGGTGCTATATAAATCCTGTATAATAATAATAACTTAAACCCAATCAAGCTCACCCAAGAAGCAATGACCAGTCTCATTGCGGTGCCTACAAAAATACCAGTGTTCCCTGATACCATTGTATGCAGCCAGATCACGTGGGCATTTTCTAATGTATGCACATATGTCTAGGCAGCAAGACAAGACACAGAGAGCGCTTCCATCGCATAAAAACTTTTTAATAAACGAATAAAAAATGGTATAAAGGTACTTGCAAAACACCCCCAATTGGTTCTGAGGAAGGAGGCGTGACCTCTGAAACGCGTATACCACTGCACTACCAGGAAGACGAACAGCGGCTGGATATGCACCTTTCGTTCTGAGCCTTTTATGCCTGTTTTTATTCGTCTTTTGTGAGTACCTTTATACCAT